GCACCATAGTTCAAATTTTTAAAAATACAAAAGGAATTATTCAGTGAAAAGGTTCCCTGTCATTCCTGTCCCCTAGCTCCAGTCTCCCTACCCCAACAGATAATCAGTTATCTCTTTCCTATACATCCTTCAAAGATTTGAATGTATAAGCACATACATATTCTTTATCATACGTTTTTACACATAAGGTAGTGTATCAAAACCTTACACCTTGCAGCTTTCATTTAACAATATATTTTAGAGAACATATATCAGTATGTTGTTTCATGGCTATAGAATATTCTATTGTATAAAAACATAAAAGCTTTTTTGTTAAGCCATTGCAAACTATGTTGTATTTAATGACCTTTTTTAAAGGTCTTTTACCAAATAAGTCTTTTTGAATATGTATGCACATCTACATCTGTAAGTGGTAAAACAATTTGTGTTGTTTCCGTAAGTATTTACATAAAGATACAGTATGATCCAAGAAGATGCCCAGCTATTCGGATACTTACGACAGTGGGGCTGGAGACTAGTCAAATGCTCTTCAGGACATTACTTTGAACCCTGACAAACTGAGAAATGAAGAAAGGAGTAAAAGAGAATTTTATTTTTAATACAACTCTATTGAAACTACTTTCTATTTTTAATTCAGTGTGGGCATAACATTTTTCTCTTTTATTCCCTTAGCCAACCTCCATGCGAGCTATCCGTGCTAGATACGACCCTTATCTACAGACAAGACACCGAATAGAACAGGTAAATTTTTAAAAAGCATTTTTAAATTAGATTTTTATACTTAGTTAGAAGGTATTATTGGCTTGATTTGAGTAGAATCTGAAATAAGAACTAAGAGTGTTTTTCCCCTTTGTAAGTTTTTAATATCCATCTGAGGAAGGGAGACTATTTTCCAGCACCTAGCAAGGTCGAAAACACCACTTCCTATAGAGAATATTATTTTCTTTAAAGGTTTTATATTCTTTACATTTTTTTCAGTTTGTAGAAAGTCATTCATGGTATGAAATCAACAACATATACATGTGTGGAAGTTCTTAGACAATATAGGTGGATGGATTTGAATTTTAGCTTCTTTAAGGCAGATAAGTATTGTGACTGTATTGCTACAGTGGGAATAGGGAATTGACCGCAGAAGAGTATGAGGAACTCATGGGAATTGTGAAATTGTTCTATATCATGATTCTGGTGGTGGTTATGCAACTCTAAACATTTATCCAAATTCACCAAATTTACACTGAAAATTAATTGATGTTATTGTATGTAAATTATACCTCTATATAATTGATTAAAAACAAGTACTGTGTAAATGACCTTGCTCTGTTCAAGAAATCTGAACATTAATACATATATATATATATATTTTTTTTTCACAGTTTTAAAATTGTCCAGTTAAAAAAATGTGAGCACTGTTCGTAGTTTTTACAGTAACATCTAGTAGGGCAACTACAAAATCTCAAATGGAAAATAGTACCATAATCAGTAAGGTACTTCTGTGTTTACTTAACTATTATTAGAGGTTACCAGCCATTTCTNCACTCCTGAGCGAGCTCTTAACCAACTGAGCCACTCGGCCGGCCCAGCATGTTTTTTTAAAATAGCCTATGTCTCTCTCCCCTGCTAGGTAATATGATTTCAGAGGACAGAGACAGTGCCTTAATATTTTTATAGTCTCAGGGCCCACCTGCTCTGTGTAGTTCAGAACCTGGCCTATCTAGCAGACCCTCAATAAAGTTAGTGGAATTAGATTGACTTCTTCAGTGGTACATGTGGTTGTCTCATTTTAAATAGAAGCATTTGTTTGAAAATATTAGTTTTTAATTCAGATCTGCAAATTTATTTATTTTGGAGTTTGTCTAGATCATTATTTAATGATTTAAGTTGAATTTTAATTTTTATTAATGAAAAACACTCACAAACTTACAGAAAGTTGAAAGTTCAGTACAAAGAACATTTTCCCCTCTGAACCATTTGAGAGTAAGCTTTGAAGCTCATGCCTTTTAATACTTTAGCATGTATTTCCTACATACAAGGACATTTTCTTACATCACCATAATACAGACATCAAAATCAGGAATTTAATACTGATACATTACTGTTATCTAATCCTCAGACCTTATTTAAGTTTCACCAGCTATTTCAATAATGACCTGCAGGACCTAGTTCAGAATCATGTGTTGTATTTAGCTGTCATGTCTCTTCAATCTGGACATTTCTGTATCTTGGGCTTCATTACCTTACTGCTTTTGAAGATTTCAGGCAAGTTATTTCATAACATGTCCTTCAATGTGGCTGAATTAGATGTTTCCTCATAGTTAGATTCAGATTACGCATCTTGGGCAGGAACATTACAGAAGTGATACTGTGTTCTTATTGTATCCCAACAGGTGGTGCATAATTTCAGTTTGTCCTGTCACTGATATTGTTCATTTTGATCAAGGTGATGTCTGCCAGGCTTCTCTGTAAAGCTATTTTTTCCCACTTTGTAATTAAGAAGTTTTGTGTGATGAAGTACTTTGAAACTGTAAACATCCTGTTCCCTATCACACTTCCAGTTTACTCATTCATTTGTATGAATGGATAAATCGTTTCCTATTTGGTGAGTTATATCATTATTTATTTTGATGCACAAAGTATCCCAGATTTGACCAGTGGGAGCCCTTTCAACCTGGTTTCTGTGTCTTTTTCTTATTTTGTTCTTTGAGCAGTTTCTAGCTTTCTGTCATAATCTAGTGTTCCAGGCTCATCTTGTACTTTCTCTGCCCCAGCCCTGGAATCAAACATTTCTCCAAGGAGTCCTTATTTCTTTTAGTAGAGAAGGATATTTAGAAATCAAGATTTGAGTGCTAGATGTGCTCACTGCTATTAGGGTGTTGCTGCTCCCAGGCCCTCTCAGTGGGCCAAGCTAGGAAATGTGTACATGTGTGAATACATATTTGTAGATTCATAACACATTTGTATCTACCATATTTCTTCATGTGTAAGAGCACCCTTTTTCAAAAAATTTGGGGTCTAAAAACTGGGTGCATGTTATACAGTGGTTGTACGAGTGCAAAAAAAGCGGGAAATGCAAGTAAAAAAAAACTACAACCACTGTATAAGACGCACCCAATTTTTAGACCCCAAATTTTTCAAAAAAGGGTTCGTCTTACACATGGGGAAATACGGTATTATTTTTGTATTTCAGTCTATATTGAAAACTACGAGTTAACAATAGTACCTTCAATTCCATCCAACCCAGAGTTCATTCTAGTTCTCTCCCTTTCCGTATTTGTAACTTCCTTCTCTGACCATAAGAAATCCAGCTTGCATTCACCTTAGTGTGTGCCTTTGTTTAACCAACCACCCTTCATGTAACTAATTTTCTATTTACGCTACCCCCTTCTTTCTCAAGCAGATACTGTCTTCACCCCACTTAGGCTCTGACCCCTTTGAGAATATCTTGCACACATGCTTAAATTCAGCTCCTAGTTTAATAGTCTCTGCTTTAAATATTGAGACCTAGTGTGTCCTTGAGGAGTTTGAGTTACAGAGTTAGATTTAGATATAATTTTATAGAATTATGTAATTTGTTTCTTCTAGGCTATTTTAGTAAAATCAGAATAAGAATCACTGTGACTTTAAAAATTATTAATTTCTTGTACTTTATTGTAGACTACAATACAAACTAGTATATACAGTGCATACGTGCATTTTGAAGATTTATTTACATTGGAAAAAGATCATCCTTGTCCCCACTGCTCAGCCTAAATACATCATCACTAGTACCTTTGAAGCCCCTTCTATGCCACTATCTGATTGCATTTTCTCTCCTTTCTTCTGAGAAATAACCACTCTGTGGGATCAGTTATTCCCTAATAACTTTTTTATTAATCTTTCTTGTGTAGATTGCTGTTGTGGCTGTGATGTGCAAACCCCACAGATGTCCACATATCAGTTTTACAGGAAATATATGTGTGTAAGTATGATGATTTCTGTAAATTATGTGTGTGTTTTAATTGAATTAGTAAGTCCCCTAGAGCATTGATCAGTGCATGCTGCTAATATTTAAAACTTGGACTTAAGAGATTCATAAGTTAGTTCTTTGAAGCAAGCAACCGTTGATAGGATAGTGCTTTAAAAGGAAACACAGAAAGATTTTAATTTGTTGCAGTATACAATAAAAAATTACATAGGTTATAGAACTCAAATCAGTAGACATTCTGTTAACTTGATAAATGGAAACATGAGCTGCCTAAATTCTAAATGTCAAGAAATTTAAATGAATTCAGATCAGAAAAGTATCAAAATAAAGTTATCCTTATAAAGAACCTTTAAACTTCTTAAATTTAGATAATCGGAAAAATTAGAAGTAGAATTACCAGGAGAGCACTGTATCAACCCAAACTTAGGAAAACTTAGGTTGTGTTATTTTCCCCTAAAAG